AGTGTTTTTGACAGAGGAAGGAAAGTACTCTTTTCTTTGTTTCTAACGAAATTTTCCTGTCTCTTAATACTCTGCTTAGCTTTTGAAAGGCATTTTTAGCCAATCCCAATACGTCTTTGGATCTTAGTGTCGCACTTTCCTTCAGTCACATTCTCACTGATGTGATATGGCTTCCCTCTGTCTTGTCTACAAATATTTTCATGGCTATTGCTCTGACAAGCTGTTTTCCTTGGTACCCGGTCTACGTGAGTTTAAGTGTATGCCCCACCCTTTTACTGTTGACTTAGGTAAATGTGACCGCCACTTTTACCCCAACAGTTTCTTTTCTCGCACTTCCAGCCTGTGGAACTTCCTTTCGTTTCCTCGCTTCCCTGATAACTACAATCTTCAAACATTTAAATGCAATGTCAATCACCGTCTTCTATCTGCTTGGACCCTGTTCAACTTTTATCCTTTCCTCGGTCCCCCGCCCACAAAACCAGTCTTTCTTTTTTCACCTTCACTCTCTGTAACCAAGATGCCAAGTCAGGATCGATTATATTGCTGGTCCTTTTTGGGTCTTGTCAAGAACCTCGAGGTGGGTAACAGGAGCATCTGGCCAGATATGGCAAAAGTATTCAAAATGGTAGATTTGTAACTGTGCAAGATGGAATCTGACGAGAAAAATCTCCTGGCACGACACAGTGAACCAACTGTCCTTGCAGTAGATGCAGCTATTGATTCAATGTAGTTGTTGCACTTCAAGTCTGTTGAAAACGCGAGGTCAAGAAAGCACACTTTGTTGCTCTCCGTCAGGCTAGCATCATCGATGCTGATGATGGCAGCTATGAAAGTTTCTCTCTGGTGGTTAAATGAGAGCAGTGTCATTTTGGAGGTATTAAAATTTACAAGCTCCAGTTAACCACTAATTGGAGGTCCTTTTCAAGAGCAGCGGCCAGCTTAACTTTTTCAACTCGGATTTGCTATTGCGGCAGGAGTAAATGGTAGTGTCGTCAGCATAAATGCCTATTTGGGAATTGATGACAACAGGAAGATCATTGATGAAGATCAGAAACAGCGTAGGACCCAGTATACAGCCTTTCACATTCGTGCGAAAAGATCTGGAAGCGATCCCGTTCATTTCGCGATTTGAAAGGAACGATTGGATTAAATCAAACTCACATACCGTAGCCCTGGAGTTTACGTAGAAGACCAGCGTACTAAACCCTGTCAAATACCTTCAAGATATCTAGAGCCGCAGCTTTGTCGTCATTATCAAGAGCTTGATATACATGTTCAGTAACGGCTGTTAGCACATCAGCGATAGATCTGGCAAAACGGAAGCCATATTGTTTGTCAGAGTGTAGGTTTATAAGGTGATAAAGATTTAGTAACCATATAACTGTATCAGATTTCAAGAGTTTACCATTTTTATTAAAATTATTCACTACCGGTTAAAAGTGCTAAAATAATATTGACACTTTGGAAAAGTATTAGTCTTTTCTAACAGTTTTAGAGATTTTCATAAGAAATAACGTTTTCTTTTTTTTTATACACTGAGCAATTAAACTATTATGGCCGCTAATTTATAAACGAGATTAGACATTGAAAAGAACTTTTCTAAAAATGTCGAAATAAACGCGATCTTCAAAACCCAGAATGCATTTTTGTTTCTTCTTTTTGTAAGAATTTATAAGTAAAGGAAATTAAAAAATATTAGTTGTGTGAAAATGTTTCAAACATAAAAATAAATATATAAACGGTTTTAACATGTGTATTCAGCTTTTCATTTTCAAAATAAATAAATATAAAATACAATAAAATAAATATATAAAACATTATAAAAATATAATAAAATAAATATTGATATATATTAATAAATATTAATATATATTACACTATTTACATTATTCGGACTATTGTCCTCAACTTTGTCGCCATATTTATTACAACGTTTCGGCCCTTCAGTATCTGTCTATATTTCTGAGATGAGGTATTATGCACACTATTTACATTATTCGGTCTATTGTCCTCATCTTTGTCGCCATATTTATCACAAGTTTCGGCCTTCTTCAGGTGGTTGGAATATCGAACTGAACCCTTTATTTCGCTCACTGGGGAAGACTGTTTTAGTTCCAAAACCTGGTTATGGTGGTGGAGAACTTGGAGAGGGGAATTAACAGGCGATAACTGATAACTACCCCAGTGAGCGAAATAAAGGGTTCAGTTCGACATTCCAACCAACTGAAGAAGGCCGAATCGTTGTAATAAATATGGCGACAAAGATGAGGACAATAATCCGAATAATGTAAATAGTGTACATAATACCTCATCTCAGAAATATAGACAGATACTAATATATATTAAAATATATGGATAGAATAAATATTCAATTATAAAAACATAAGAAAATATATATTAATATATATTAATAATTAAATAAATATTAAAGAATATTAATAAATATCAATATATACAGATAAATTTCTGATTAACGGACTAATAGGGTGGTCCGATAAAGCCGATTGTCCGTAGATTGGAAGGGATTATTTTTGAGTTATAAAAACACTACAGTAACTACCAGTATTTATGATCATAATATAAAGACTATAAACATGTATATATGACATAAATAAATATATATTTAACATAGATATATTTATGAAAATAACAGAAATAAGAGACGTCCCACAACTATTTTTTCATGCACACGCTAATGTATCGTGCTTCCCGTCTTTGTTTACAATTCAAAGGCCTGCCAATTTTGAAACACATCCATGACAATTTGGATGTTTTTTCCTGTCGATTTTTTTTTTATTTTGCCTGCAGATTTTTCCGTTGCATCCCAAGTCCGTTGATTCGTGGGGCGGAGGGGTCCGTAGATGAGAGCTTTGTCCTTATTAGTAAATAAAATAAATATCAACAAAATAAAAATTAAAAAATTATTATAAAAAACAAAAACAAAATAACAACTATAAATAAAGGATTTTAAACTGTATATTCAGTTTTTCTTTTTCAGAGACAAACATAAATAAAAATACAACAAATAGATTGTGCATTCGGGTTGTTATTTAAAAAATGAATATAAAATAAAATAAAAATATACATACATACATACCAGCTTATTCAGTTGTTCGTTTTCAAAATAAATAAATCAAATGAAATAAAATAAAATGAAATAAAAATTATAATAAAGAAACGTTGCATTCAGTCTCTCGTTTTAAAAAATAAAAGCAAGTATAAAAAATATAATTAAGTAAATAAACTGTTTTAAACTGTGTATTCGGTTTCTCATTTTCAAAAAATAAAATAAAAAATATAAATAAATACTTTTAAACAGAGTATTCCGTTCTTTCGTTTTAAAAAAGTAAATATATAAAAATAAAAATAAATTAAAATTAAATTAAAATATAAATAAACACTTTAAACAGAGTATTTTGTTCTTTCGTTTAAAAAAGTAAATAACAATAAAAATAGGTTAAAATAAAATAAAAATAAATAAACACTTTTAAACAGAGTATTCCGGATTTTCGTTTTCAAAAAGAAAATATATAAAAATAAAAATTAAATTAAATTAAATTAAAATATAAATAAACACTTTTAAACAGAGTATTCCGTTCTTTCGTTTTAAAAAAGTAAATATATAAAAATAAAAATGAATTAAAATAAAATTAAAATATAAATAAACACTTTAAACAGAGTATTCCGTTTTTTCGTTTTCAAAAAGAAAATATATAAAAATAAAATAAAATAAAATTAAAATGGAAATAAACAAATTTAAACAGAGTATTCCGTTCTTTCGTTTTAAAAAGTATATAAAAATAAAAATAGGTTAAAATAAAATTAAAATATAAATAAATAAACACTTTTAGAGTGAGTATTCTGTTCCTTCGTTTAAAAAGTTTACGTATATATAAAAATAAAAATGAAATAAAATTAAAATGTAAATAAACACTTTTAAACAGAGTATTTCGGGGTTTTTTTTTTGCTTTAAAAAAGTAAATATATAAAAATAAATTTGAATTAAATTAAAATAAAAATAAAAATAAACACTTTTAAACTGAGTATTCCATTCTTTCGTTTTCAAAAAAAGTAAATATATAAAAATAAAAATGAAATAAAAATATAAATAATTAAACACTTTTAAATTAAGTATTCCGTTCTTCCGTTTCCAAAAAAAAAAAAAAAAAAAAGAAGTAAATATATAAAAATAAAAATGAAATAAAATAAATTAAAAATATAAATAAATAAGCAGTTTTTCGTTTTTAAAAATGTGCTGGGAATTTTTACATACACCTAATAAAACGTTGTAAAATCTCAGTTAACTATCTCATCATAACAGTTTAGTAATTCTAAAATTGATTATAATCCTCATAATACAAATATATATATATATATATATATATATATATATATATATATATATATATTTCTCAATGACGCTTTTTTTAATAGTGGGGTCAGTAGATAGTGACAAATAGAAAGGAAAGTCTATCTGAAAGGCCATCATGGTGAACCCTGTTAATATGAATATAGAATAAAGAGGATAATAAAATGACCCCTGCAGTCAGTCTAATGAAAATAATATTCTTGTAATAGCTGAATCGTTCGATAAATATTTCATTGGTGTCCAACGAGATAATTACAGTAAATTTAACAGCAAAATTTAAAATCAATAACGAAATCAATTCATTGAAAATCGATGAGAATGTCACTATTTTATAGCAACTCGCCAAAGATATTTTTTAGCGGCTGGCGTTATTGGTAAGTTTTTTTGTTTTTTGTTTTAAATAAGTGGCTTTTTGTTTTGTTGAAATTGAAAATCAGTGATCAATGCGACACCTGCTGGCGGGCGACACCTGATCGTCGTGAGTGGCGACACCTAGCGGTGATGACAGGTAAGAGGTTTTTTAAAAGTGAAAGTAAAATTGAATTGAGATGGATTTTTGGCGGGTTTTTGCGTGTGGTCCTATAGAGGCGGTGATGACACTCAATTGGGAAAAATATCAATTATGTGACTCTTAAACGACAAAAGGCATTGATGGGTATAAAAAAGAGAGAGAAAAGTGAGTGAGAAAAAAGAGGGTGCTAGATAGAAAAGTGAGAAAGAGCGTAAGAGAGAGAGAGAGAGAGAGAGGGACGAGAGAGAGAGAGGGGACGAGAGAGAAGAGAGAAATGAAAAAAAAAAGAGTGAGAACATAGAGTAATGGAGAAAATGAAAAAGAAAGAAAGAAAAAAGAAATGTGGTTACAGTATTTTTTGTCAGCTCTACACGAAAAGTGAAAATGACACCTACACATACGGAGAGAGGGAAAGATAAAATGGTTGATTGATTGATTTGTCTGTTTAACGGCATATCAACTCCTCATGGGTCATTTAATGCCGAAATTTAATTTTGCGGGGAGCTTTGAAGTAATAAAAATATGACATGTTATTCTGCTTTCACAATTGAATACATGGTAGATAATACTCAGCTTTTGTGCCTATAGATGTTTATGTGGACATAATTACTAGAGGCGGTGATATGTGTGTTTTATGTTGTAGTTTTGTTGAAGTTATATTTTGGAATACAGTTTGATTTCTTTAAGAAATTATAGGATATTTTATGGACTAATGTCATGAAAGTGTTCTATCATGTTGGTTGTTTAGTTGGTTGATTTTCTTTAGTGGCATATCAACACCTCTGTGGGTTATTTTAATGCCAAAATCTAAATATTTTAACACAATTTTATGCTTTCAACCAAATATATTTTGAACGCACTTGTATGCCTTCAACTATAGATAAAATGTATTGTTGGTCATTTTACTATAAATATGTATTGTTGGTTGGTTGATTTTGTTTAGTGGCATATCAACTCCTTATGGGTCATTTAATGCCGAAATTTAATTTCCTTGGGAGCTTTGAAGTAATAAAAATATGATATATGTTATTCTGCTTTCACAATTGAATACATAGTAGATGATACTCAGCTTTTTTGCATATGCATGTTTGCATGGACATAATTACTAGAGGCAGTGATATGTGTGTTTTATGTAGTAGTTTTGTTATTCTGCTTTCACAATTGAATACATGGTAGATGATACTCAGCTTTTTGCATATGCATGTTTGCATGGACATAATTACTAGAGGCAGTGATATGTGTGTTTTATGTAGTAGTTTTGTTATTCTGCTTTCACAATTGAATACATGGTAGATGATACTCAGCTTTTTTGCATATGCATGTTTGCATGGACATAATTACTAGAGGCAGTGATATGTGTGTTTTATGTAGTAGTTTTGTTATTCTGCTTTCACAATTGAATACATGGTAGATGATACTCAGCTTTTTGAATATGCATGTTTGCATGGACATAATTACTAGAGGCAGTGATATGTGTGTTTTATGTAGTAGTTTTGTTATTCTGCTTTCACAATTGAATACATGGTAGATGATACTCACTTTTTTTGCATATGCATGATTGCATGGACATAATTACTAGAGGCAGTGATATGTGTGTTTTATGTAGTAGTTTTGTTATTCTGCTTTCACAATTGAATACATGGTAGATGATACTCAGCTTTTTGAATATACATGTTTTTGTGGACATAATTACTAGAGGCAGTGATATGTGTGTTTTATGTTGTAGTTTTGTTATTCTGCTTTCACAATTGAATACATGGTAGATGATACTCTTTTTTGCATATGCATGTTTGCATGGACATAATTACTAGAGGCAGTGATATGTGTGTTTTATGTAGTAGTTTTGTTATTCTGCTTTCACAATTGAATACATGGTAGATGATACTAAGCTTTTTTTGCATATGCATGTTTGCATGGACATAATTACTAGAGGCAGTGATATGTGTGTTTTATGTAGTAGTTTTGTTATTCTGCTTTCACAATTGAATACATGGTAGATGATACTCAGCTTTTTTGCATATGCATGTTTGCATGGACATAATTACTAGAGGCAGTGATATGTGTGTTTTATGTAATAGTTTTGTTATTCTGCTTTCACAATTGAATACATGGTAGATGATACTCAGCTTTTGTGAATTTTTTTTGCATATGCATGTTTGCATGGACATAATTACTAGAGGCAGTGATATGTGTGTTTTATGTTGTAGTTTTGTTATTCTGCTTTCACAATTGAATACATGGTAGATGATACTCAGCTTTTTTGCATATGCATGTTTGCATGGACATAATTACTAGAGGCAGTGATATGTGTGTTTTATGTTGTAGTTTTGTTATTCTCCTTTCACAATTGAATACATGGTAGATGATACTCAGCTTTTTTGCATATGCATGTTTGCATGGACATAATTACTAGAGGCAGTGATATGTGTGTTTTATGTAGTAGTTTTGTTATTCTGCTTTCACAATTGAATACATGGTAGATGATACTCAGCTTTTTTGCATATGCATGTTTGCATGGACATAATTACTAGAGGCAGTGATATGTGTGTTTTATGTTGTAGTTTTGTTATTCTGCTTTCACAATTGAATACATGGTAGATGATACTCACAATTTTGGTAGATGAAGCTTTTTGAATATACATGTTTGCATGGACATAATTACTAGAGGCGGTGATATGTGTGTTTTATGTTGTAGTTTTGTTATTCTGCTTTCACAATTGAATACATGGTAGATGATACTCAGCTTTTTTGCATATGCATGTTTGCATGGACATAATTACTAGAGGCAGTGATATGTGTGTTTTATGTTGTAGTTTTGTTATTCTGCTTTCACAATTGAATACATGGTAGATGATACTCAGCTTTTGTGAATATACATGTTTGTGTGGACATAATTACTAGAGGCAGTGATATGTGTGTTTTATGTTGTAGTTTTGTTATTCTGCTTTCACAATTGAATACGTGGTAGATGATACTCAGCTTTTTTGCATATGCATGTTTGCATGGACATAATTACTAGAGGCAGTGATATGTGTGTTTTATGTAGTAGTTTTGTTATTCTGCTTTCACAATTGAATACATGGTAGATGATACTCAGCTTTTTTGCATATGCATGTTTGCATGGAGATAATTACTAGAGGCAGTGATATGTGTGTTTTATGTAGTAGTTTTGTTATTCTGCTTTCACAATTGAATACATGGTAGATGATACTCAGCTTTTTTGCATATGCATGTTTGCATGGACATAATTACTAGAGGCAGTGATATGTGTGTTTTATGTAGTAGTTTTGTTATTCTGCTTTCACAATTGAATACATGGTAGATGATACTCAGCTTTTGTGAATATACATGTTTGTGTGGACATAATTACTAGAGGCAGTGATATGTGTGTTTTATGTTGTAGTTTTGTTGCAGTTATATTTTGGAATACAGTTTGATTTCTTTAAGAAATTGTAGAATATTTTATGGACTAATATCATGAAAGAGTTCTTCCGTGTTGGTTTTTTGATTTTCTTTAGCGGCATATCAACACCCCGATGGGTTATTTAATGCCGAAATCTAAATATTTTTAACACAATTTAATTTTCTTGGAAGCTTTGTAGTAATAAAAACATGATATGTTATTCTGCTTTCACAATTGAATACATGGTAGATAATACTCAGCTTTTGTGCATTTAGATGTTTGTGTGGACATAATTACTAGAAGCGGTGATACGTATATTTTATGCTGTAGTTTTGTTTAAACATAAGAGATGCAGATGAAACAGTACTAATAGCAGACATGAAAAAGAAATGACGATACCTCATCCAGAAGGTTTTAAGGAGTAGCAAGTTATTCTGAAGGGACAATTGAATAAAATACAAGAAGACAGGATGTATGTTTGTGTGGACATCAGTAAAAGGATGATGTGTGTTTTTAAAATGTGATTTGATGGTTAAGGACATTAAAATCAAGAAGTTTTATGGAATATTTAAATGTCTGGGTGTTGGTTTTTGACAAAGGACATGGGTTATTAAATGCGACTAAATATTTTTAACAGGATGATTTTGTTTATCAGATTAAAAATGATACTCAACTTTCAGCTTTTGTGCATATAGATGTTTGTGTGGACGTAATCCCAAGCGGTGATACGTAGATTTTATGTTGTAGTTTTGTTTTAAGTTATATCAACATGAAAAAAAAGGGATCGTTCGTGTTGAGCAAGAAGAAGGACTTGATGGTACAAGAAGACAGGACTACGGTCGACAAATTTTTTTTTTTTTCAAAGCATTTCATTTTGACAAAGGAAGCAAGTGCGACACATATTAGGATGATATGTTTAGCAGATTAAAAATGAGGACTTTTGTGCATATACATGGGTTGGACAGAAAATAGGAAGATCAGAGTTTTATTTAAGTTATATCCAACTAAAGAAGGGATCGAAGAAACGGTCGGATGAGCAAGGGTAGTGGATAGATTAAGGCAACTGGTGATAGAAGAAAGGATCGATTGACATTACATGTCGATTGAATAGCTGGAATTATAACTCTCAGGGAAACAGGAGAAGGGAAGAGAGTTCCACAGGCGAGAGGTGCGAGACATGAAGCTATTAGAGTAGAAGAGACGGCTACATTTATGAGTTTCGACAGTGAAGGGGTGAGAGCGGGATGCGAGCCTCGTAGGGCGCTTGAACTCATGAAGTTTGGGAACCAGCGAATGCAGTTCCTCGGAGCAATTTCCATGAAAGTATTTGTAGAACAGACAGAGGGAGGCGACGGTGCGTCTGTGAGAAAGTGACTGATGAATTAATTTCCAAAAAGAGTTCTTTCATGTTCATTATTCGGTAGTATTTTAAACGGATTTCGCTGAAGTCGCTACAATTTGTTAGTATGTGTTTTATTGTGTATAGTTCTTGGCAAAACGTAGAGATTGAAGGCGGCTCTGGTTCTAGAATATAAAAAAAAAATAGAATGAAAAAAGAAGAAATGTGGTAACTGTATTTTTTATCAACTCTACACGAAAAGTAAAAATGACACCTACACATACGGATAGAGGGAAAGATAGAATGGTCGATTGACAGATTTGTTTGTTTAACGGCATATCAAATCCTCATGGTTCATTTAATGCCGAAATTTAATTTTGAGGGGAGCTTATAAAAAATTATATGCAAAACAATTTAGTCTATATGCACAACAAAATTTCGTGTATAGTCTAGTTTAAATGTCATCTTTTAAACACTCTTTGTATATTCATTTTTTTTTTTATGATTTTCTTCTGAATGAAACAAAATTCAAATATTTTTGTTTCAGGAAAATAATTTTGAAAAATTATTTAAAAAATAAAAATTAAAAGAAAAAATAATGAAAGCATTTCCTTCAACTATATAAATATGTTAAGTGCCAACTTCAAATATTATGTTTTAAAGATTCACATTTATCTTATGATTTTTGGAGAATGAAAAAAATCAAATGTTTTTTGTTTCATGAAAATAATTTACCAAAATAAAATTAAAAGAAACAAAAACAGAAAGAATTTCTTTTGACTCCATTTGTTAACTGCCATTTAGAAATTTTCTATGCACTGTTGATTATCATACGTGAGGCAATGTTTACCGCTTTTTAAAGACAATCTATCTGTACAAAAAGTAATATCTGCAAAATATATTTAAATTTTTATTATCTGTTAATATGATGTGATCTTGTTCAGCACAATGTCCATTAGAGGGCATTGGAGGAATTGAGATTGTCTGTTGCTACGACCTATGCTTGCTCAGTCATTTGTACGGGGGTGATGTCAACATTTTAATCATGCCATTATTCTCTCTTTGAGTTACATATCCATTTTAGTTGTTGCTACTGTTCACATTCATGTAGTTTCTGTTAGTTGGTACAGTTCTTTGTGATTCTGTAGTGCTGGTATATGACTGATTTGTTCGTTCTATGCCATATCAATTACTTATGGGTCATTTAATGCTGATATTTAATTTTCTTGGGAGCTTTAAAGTAATAGAAATATGGTCTATGTCATTCTGTTTTCGCAAAAGAATACATGGTATATAATACTCAGCTTTTGTGAATATACATGTTTATGTGGGCTTAATTACAAGTGGCAGGGATATGTGTGTTTTATGTTGAAAGTTTTGTTTAAGTTCTAAAGGTATTATATGGAGGCACAGTGGAGCAATGGATAGTGGTTCGGATTGAAGAATTGAGTTTGAATTCCAGCAGGATCCATTACATTCATTTACAGGTTAATACTTTTCAGAAAGGTATGAATCCTCTTCTTCTCCCGCCAAGTAGCAGGGCAGACTGGGTTCTTGTTGTAGAGTAGTTTTCACAGTGGAGACTTATATTTCACTAAGTCGGTCCTAAAAAAGGTTCGACGTACAAAACGTTAGGAACTTGTTATAATAGTTAATGACGCAGCAATCTAGTTGTGGTGGTTGATACTTTAATGTCCGACATCGACTGACTCACCAACTCACTGAGGATATTCAGTCACCCCCCTCCACTGGGGCATCATGTGGCACAAGGCCGGTTTAACGTGGGATCTCCGAGCCCGTGGCCTCGGCGAAAAATATGCCCTTTGAAACCGTATAAACGGGTTCAGGGTCGGTTTACCTCCCCGAAAGAGACTCAGCCCTTCGGCGTAGCCTCGTTCGGGTTCCTCCCCGCCCGAAGGCAGAGAGTTCAACCGGTCAGACGGTCAGCTGGCCGTCCGACTTCAGAATGAACTCAGACCAGCTCACTGAGCCCCCTGGCGACTGCTACTACTACTACTTATAATAGGTGGGAGAGTCTATTAATAATAGAATAGGTGTGTTTCAGTATAACAGTTCTGTAGCTCTGAGTGGCTCACAGTCTAGGAGAAAGTAACTTTGAATTAAAGAAAAAAAAAAGCCCCGGCATAGCACATACTATCCAGCTAAAGAAAAGATTGCTTGGATTGGCTTGATGATCCCAACTACGGTCAACAAATGCGGAGGATATGGAAAGTCCAGAAAGAATTCTTTCATTTCGGTTATTTGCTAGTATTTTAAACGGATTTGGCTGTAGTCGCTACAATTTGTTAGTATGTGTGTTATTGTGTATAGTTCTTGGTATACAGGTTGAAGGTGAATCTTGGTTTAAAATATGACATCAGACACTTAAAAAAAGAAGCAGTAATCTCCTGACTTCATATCGTGATAACACATTCTTATGTGTTATCATGATATCAATCCTGGGCATTGGTAGTTAATATTTTCTTGTTTTTAGTGTTTTTTTGCATTCTTCTGTAGAAGGTTAGATGTATAATTTGTTGGTTGGTTGATTTTGTTTAGCGGCATGTCAACCTATTTTGGTTATTGAATGAAAAAACTCTAAATATTTAGAACACAATTTTATGGCTTCAACTACAGAAAAAATGTATTATTGGTCGTTTTGCTATAAAATATATTCTTGGTAATTCTGGTTTAAAAATATATTGTTAGTAATTTTACTATAAATATGTATTGTTGGTAATTATTTAGTATAAAAATGTATTGCTGGTATTTTTATTATAAAAATATATTTTGATACTTTCATAATATTTTGCTTGGTGGATTTCTATTTTCCGATTGCTAAGACCCTAACAGGTTCTACCACCTCGGGTCAGAGAAGACTTTTGGAAACAAAAAAGCAATTAAGAGGTGGTTCCACGCTCCTCGAAATCTCCAATCTCCCGATCAGAGGCCTTGCTGCCGGATGTAGTTTATCATATCCAGGACAGGATAGATAGAAATTGAAGTAGATAGATAGATAGATAGATAGATAGATAGATAGATAGATAGATAGATAGATATTAGGAGAACGGGAGTAAGGGAGATGAGAAAGTGAAGTATAGAGAAAGGGGAAAAGACGTAGATAGGTTGGGAGAAAAAGGTAGTGTGACATAGAAGGAGAGAATAAGGGAGGAGAGAAAGAGAGGTAGAAAGACAGACAAGAAGAGAAGGAGAGAGAAAAACTGATAGAAAGAGAGAGAGAAAGATAGGAGAGAAAAAGAGGTTGCAAGAGAGTAAAAAGAAAAACATAGAGTAAGAGAGATAGAGAGAAAGAGAGAGAAAAAGAGAGAGGAAATTAGAAAGGATTAGAAAGGAAGGGATAGGATATATAAAGAGAGATTGAGAGAGGGATGGAAAGAGGAAAACTGACAGGTAAAGGGAGGGAGAGAGAGAAAATGAAAACGTTAGCTAGGAAAAGAGCGAGGAAGATAGGAGAGATAACGATTATGAGAAGGAAAGGGTGGGAAAAGAGAAATAGAGAGAAAGAGACTGAAAGAGAGTGGGTAAGAGATGGGGATGGAGGCAAAGAGAGACGGACAATATAAGCGGGAAGGATAGAGAAGAATGGAGTGATGGTGGAACTTATGGAAGATATTTTAAGCGGATCGAAATTACAAGACGGAAAAAGAAATCGAAAGAGCAAAAGAGGTGAAAAAATCGATGACGGAAATGAATTCCTTAAACGGAAGTGAAATATAAAACCTATATACGAGAAAGAAAGGAAAAAATAAGAACATCGCATCTGCGTACACACGCACGCACCAATGTATATACAGTGTGCGATGGGTAAATTGTCAAATTTTAAATTCTTAATTTCGCGCATGCGCGTTGTTTGATTTTGATTTTGTCGACTGCATATTATAGGGTCAGTTGGGCACCATCCGTCATCATTTACATTATTCGGACTCTTGTCCTCATTTTTGTCGCAATATTTACTACAACGTTTCCACCGTTGTACGCTCCGGCCTTCTTCAGGTGGTTGGAACGTCGAAATAAACCCTTTCTTTCGCATCAAAACGGCCGTACAATGGCAGAAACTTTGTAATAAATAAGGCGAGAAAGATGAGGACAATAGTCCGAATAATGTAAATAGAAAACATAATACTTCATCTCAGAAATATAAACATATACTGAAGGGCCCAAACGTTGTAATAAATATGACAACAAAGATGAGAAGAATAGTCCGAATAATGTAAATAGTGTACATAATACCTCATCACATGAATATAGAGAGATACTAAAGGGCCGAAATGTTGTGATAAATATGGCGACAAAGATGAGGACAATAGTCCGAATAATATAAGTAGTGTACATAATACCTCATCTCAGAAATATAGACAGATACTGCAGTGCCGAAACGTTGTAATAAATATGGCGACTAAGATGAGGACAATAGTCCGTATAATATAAATAATGTACATAATACCTCATTTAAGAAACATAAAAAAATTCAGGTCATGTCTAGGAATATCTCACCCTACGAGCAATCTCTGAGAAGTGCTAAGAAGGAAGAAAACAGTGTGTATATTTCACGTCAGGGGATCATCGGAAAATATTCAGAAGATCTGAAGGTCATACATCAGAACAATATACAGAAGCAGCTGAAGTGCACGTAGAAATCTCTGCTGAGTCAGGTTTTAAACTGTTGTAGCGTACCTACGGACAATAATGGGTGTGCCCCTATTCCTATAAATACAGTAGTAAATACTGTATGTTGGTCTACATTTGAAGATTCCTCTCTAGCTGAGCTGGTTCAAACTCTCTGATTCCGGGCAGAGAGGATCCCCAGACGAGGCTATGTCGAAGGGCAGAGTTTCGTCTCGGGAAACAGCTACCCGACTCCGTTTTATACCCAACATTAAATTCGGCCTTGTGCCACATCTGACCGCGTGGGGCGGTTGGTAGATATCCTAGAGTTGGAGATTCATTATGGAATTCACTTGACTCACTTCGAACAGTTGACTACTACTCGCTTATCGTTCATTACCAACCTTTGTTTGATTATTCTATTCTGTGGCAAAAAATTAAATAGATAAATGAGGGGGGTAAAAAAAATCAAGTGCGGCGTTCGCCGGCGGACCGACTCTTCTTCTTCCTCACTCGTCTCAAGGAAATAGATTCCGGGGCTCTATTTCTTCGCCACCACACTGGGCACTTTTCAATTGACAAAGTCTCCTTCACCTTTTTCCTGTTAATCCACTCGTCAGACTAGCAAATGTAATCCGCCACCGCCCCCCAAAAAAAACATGCTCCCGTCGCTCTTAGCATTTCGGTTTTTATGTCTCCTCAAACAGGCCAGAATTTGCATATGTGCAAATCCCGTCTCGTAGAGACGAGAC